GTTTTGGACTGATGGACAAATTTATCTATTTTGGGTCATGGTTGCTGTGGTTGGGCCTTATTGGGTCGTATGACCCATGAGTAGTTTTGGACACATACTTGGGACCCATTAGCTAGGAGATACTTTTGGGCCATGGTGAAAGGACTTGGGCTTAAGTAATTAGATTTTACAATTAGATTGTGTTTAACCCTAATTTAAGATTAATGGTATTATTGTTCAGCGCGTGTGGTTTCAGACTGTTAGGCAATCAGCTTTCGTGTTCGGCAGACTAAGGTGAGTCTCCTCACCATATTAATGGGTCGAAGGCACCAAGGTCGCCTATTAATTGCTATGTGTTGTGCTAGTTGATTCCGTGGTAGGTAGTATGCTATTTGTAATTGTGATATTTGCATGGAAGGCCTCGGGGGGTTCCCGGGGCACTTAGGTGTATGACCTTGGAGGGTTTCCATGGCATCCTAGGTAAAGACCTCGAGGGGTTCCTGGGGCACTTAGGTGTAAGACCTTGGAGGCTTTCCACTGCATCCTAGGTAAAGACCTCAGGGGGTTCCCGAGGCACTAGGGTATAAGACCTTGGAGGGTTTCCAGGGCATCCTTAGTTAAGACCTCAGGGGGTTCCCAAGGCATTGGGCTAAGACTATGTGGGGTTCCCATGACACCAGGAGTAAGACGATGGAGGGTTTCCAGGGCATCCTTATATGTTTGTATGTGTGGCTTATGTTGCTTATATGACTGATATGGGTTATATAGTTATGTGGATTATGTAGGGGTATGCTCTGGGGAACTCACTAAGCATTAGCTTACAGTTTGTTGTTGTTTCAGGTATTTCAGGGTCTAAGGGCAAGGGTCCGGCATGATGGCGCGACATGCACTCTCTGAAGTTTTGTTTGGGGACACTCTGATTTTTATGAATAATGTATATGATGTTCTAGATTTATAAACAATTGTGATTGGAATTTTATAACTTTTGGAAATGAATTTCATATTTAAAAAGTAAATTTTATATTGAGATTATTGGGCTGTTACATTGCATGTCTTCTTTCCTTCTCGAACCTCATTCCCTTTCTCCTATTATGTTTTTACCAAGTGAGACCTCTTTTGCTACCGGGTAAGACCTAGGGGTGTCAATCATGCAGTTTTGTCATGTTTTAGCTAATACTTCACGACTATTTATTTTATAACACAAACACGGCGTTGTGTTTTGTTTTACTAACACGAAATGACCCAAGTAAAACACAATAAAAATGATAAACACATAAAAGATAACATAAAATATGCCTTTAGATTATTTAACTCATATTAATTGTAGGAAACACGAAAAACACAACAAACATGTTAAAATATCGTATCAATTTCATTTCAAATTTTGAAAACAAACATGACACGACGTCGTGTGTTTTACCATTGACACGAACACGAGAAGAATACAATTTTAAAATTTAATTTCATCCTAATTTTGTTTTATGTCTTGTATTTTTGTCGTGTCGTGCTATGGATTCCTACTCCTAGTGAGACCACACATCTACCGTTAATACCTACCTACCACTACTACAATGTATCCGATCGTAAAGTGGAGAAAGAGATAGAGAAATTGGGTTGTCAAATGTGGAAAATGTTCAATGGAACGAGAACACATAAACATCTTGTGTGTTCGATTGTAGAACCGAGAGAAGGAGAGGTATAGAAATTGGAGTTTGTTTCTTGTACCGACAAAATTCCAACATAAACAATTCGTGTTTCTTTCATGCTTCAGAATAACCACCATTTTCAACTTTGCCAAAAAACATATATACGGTTCTCATGAAGATGAAAGAGATTGTGTTGATCCTAAGGACTGTAGCCAAGGCCGGCCTAATAACCGGGTGACTTGGGCTTAGGTCCAGGGCATCAAATTTTTAGGGGCATAAAATAAATCTGCTATGCAAATAGTATATGGCCCAAACAAATTATCCCTATGTTTCGTGTGATCTTATTTGGGAGGCGAGAAAGAAGGCAGGGCAATGAAAAGTTAGGCACCAAACAACCATCTATCGTTTCTACAATTGCACATGGAAAATTGAAACGTCTGTTGGCACTCTGAAATAGGTAGGTTGTTGTCGATTGGATGCTTAGAATCACGTCGCGTCTCTGATAAATAAAAGTAAGAAGGATTTAATTTTCACTTTCACTCGATAATGCATAGCTCTCAATTCCCAATTTCTTAGTTATCACTGATTACATTCTATAACTGATTACATATCTCAATTTCTCTGATTTTTGGTTTCTAAATACTCCAATTTTTGTATTTTTTTCAAGTTCTAGTTTGTGATTTTAGATTTCTCTAATCTTGTTTGGTGGTTAAAGATCGTGGTTTAAGCCTTCTAGGATCCTATTATAGTGATTCTATTACAATGATTATGATTTGGGTGTGAATATGATTTGGGTGAGTTCAACTTCTTTTATTCTGATTTCCTTTCCTTGTTGGCATTCTAAATTCTGATATGATTTATGTTTAGCGTTTTTGTTATTTGGTTTGAAATAATATTGTTTTTGTTGTCTATTGAAGTGCAAGGTCTTTTCAAGTAAAATTTCTCCTCTCTTTGGGCTCGAAATCTACTGATATCTGTGGTTTGCTTTAGCCTTCATGTAAAATTTCTTACCATTTGTCATCTGTGTTAGCTTCTGATACAAATTTCTGAAGATCCTTTCTAAACTTTTATGTTTTTATTGCTGTGATGTGAACCAGGAGGCATATTTCTGAATTCTGACTTTTGTTTATTTTAAATATCAGAACATCTAGTGGAGTAGGAGGTATAAATTTATTTTATTGTTTCTATTAGATAGTAATTTTAAAAATAGATTCAAATTTCTGATTATATGATTTATGTTTCAGATCTCTTTAAGTCATGAAATTGGAAACAAAAAGTCACAAACACAAAAGACATTTTAGCTTAAAAAGTAATGTTGTATCTCAAAAGTATTTTAAAATTAAAGCTCTCGAAATCGTGTCTCCTAATTGCCCATGACTCAAGAAGATTGAATGGATTAGCATGTTTAAGTATCCAAAGTGATTTTTTACAAAATGTTGATTATTGTAAAATAGACATGTTTATGCTTCAAAATTACACAAGACATTATCTAATGTGACTTTTGTATGTTTTTGTTTGTATTATTTGTTTCAATATAAATTTATTGTTTTTTATTTTATTTTGTTTATTTATACGCCTTGTCAAACGTTTGGTACGTTTAGTACATATATAAGGGCATAAAATCGTTTCTCGCCCCGGATAGTAAAAACCATTGGACTGATCCTAACTGTAGTAATGTTCCAAGGTTTGTATAATGATGGGTTATAACATGAAAAAATGAAGGTATTTGAAGGTATTTGATAAAATGCTGATGTTATCATTTATACAACGGTGGTGGAAGAATTTCCCCGATTCATTTGATAAAATGCTGATGTTATCATTTATACAACGGTGGTGGAAGAATTTCCCCGATTTGGTTACCATAATGCCTTAATAACGGAGTTCTCATTCATGTGTTACGTAAAGGGAAAAATATATAATTACATACTTGAGTTCTATAAAAAGATTCTGGAAACTAGTCGTTGTCCTAATTTGGTTACCATTTTGTCTTTATTGTCTTTATTGGGAACAATAGTTTTCTCATAAAAGGCACTGAGGAGGAAGGAAAAAAAAAAGCAATGGATGAGAAATTGTCACCACTAGAACACACAAGTGATATATCAAGCAAACGAATAAAACCAAGTACATCTAATGTGCAGCCAAGTTACCTCATGAATTGTGTAGTGATGGGTTAGTGCAAGAAGGAAAGAATCTTTTTAATTTGAATTGAGACCGGAAGAATCCCTAAAGTTGTAACATATATTGCAGTTCTTTAAGAATTTTTTCATGATCAAAAGGTGGATGATGTAGCTATGATTTTTTAGAAAATAAAGAGTCTAAAGTCTAATCCTAAACTTACATATTTGTGAGACTAGAAGAATCTCTCATAAATTTGATTCAAGCTTTTTCTTTTTACTAAACCTAAAAGCTCTTATGATCTCTTATAAATTTGATGACAAACACACCATTAGTATATATGACAATTGTTAGTCAAAGACACTTACACCCTCTTCTCAACCCCTTCGATAAGAAGATGAATGTCAAACACACCATTAGTATATATGAATGTGCCATTTTCTCCTTCCCCTACCACTACCTAAATCCTATAAAAATCAGAGGGATGTAACGTTGGCAGCCCCTATTGAGGATAGAAACACATTTCTCGACGATGACCTACAAAACTAAGACAAATAAATAAATAACTAAAAGATGTCTTGTTTGTGTTTCACATCATCTATAAACATAAATAATACTCCAATAGTATATGGGGAAGACATTTTTTTATAAGGATATACAAATAGAGAGCATATTCAAATGAACTACTCTGCAGAAATGTGTAAGGTCTACGTAGGAGTGTATACGAGTTGAGTCGAGCCGAATACTACCAAGTTCGAAGCTCAGCTCGACTAAAATACTCGAGCTCGAAACTCGGCTCGAACTCGACTCGAGCCATGATTTTAAGCTCGAGCTCGGGCTCGTGAAATACTCGACAGTCTTAAGCTCGGCTCAGCTCGACTCGACTAATATTTTTAAAAAATCAAAATCACAAAATTGAGTAAGAAATATTAAACATTTCACATTTAAATGTCCAAACTACTAAAAAAACAACTATTAATCACTGAATATCAATATAACATCAACCATATATTTCATAAATGAATAATTATAAAGAAATATATCTTATAAATGAACAATTATCAATAAATTGTATATATGTAAATTATACTAAGTTCGACTAAGGTTGCGAGCCTTACGAGCTGAGTATTTTTGTACTCGAGCTCGGCTCGATAAAGTACTCGAGTAGTTTGAGCTTGGCTTGATTAAGATCGAGTCGATTTCGAGTATTTTTCGAGTCGGTCTCGAGTTTCTAACGAGTTGACCTGTCTCACTTACACCCTAAGTCTGCATATGTCTGGTTATATGAGAAATAAATGAATCCATCTCTAAACGGCGTACTCCACCTTCCGTCACCGATCTCTTGACGTCATCCCCCAACCTGGTGGCTCTCCTCCGCATCTCCTCCCCTTCCTCCGAACCCATCAGTCTCTTCACCGCCTCTTCCACCGCCACCGCCGTCACCAACTCCTTCCTCTGCTCCCAATCCTTCACCACCACACCAATTCCAAGAACATCCGTAATCAGAAACGCATTTCTCGGCTGATCGGAGTGCATCGGCCATGTCGCCATTGGCACTCCCATCGATATACTCTCCATGCTCGAATTCCATCCACAATGACTCATAAATCCTCCCGTCGCAAAATGCCCCAAAATCTCCAGTTGAGGTGCCCACCGCCGCTCAATCAAACCTCTACCGTTAATCCTCTCTTCAAACCCATCGGGCAATCGAACCATCGTATCGCCGCCGCTGGAATTGCCCACATCCGCCATGTCTGCTGCTCGAACCACCCAGATAAACCTATGTTCGCTTCTCTCTAAGCCGATAGCCAACTCCCTAATTTGATCATCGCTGAATGTGGTCGTCGTTCCAAAAGAAACGTAAATGACGGAATTAACAGGTTGATTGTCAAGCCATTGCAAGCATCTGTGGCGGGTTTCTGAAGGTGTCACATCATATGGAATTTGGACGGGATTAACCGGCCCAATAGCCCATATCTTCTTCTTCTTCCCGGAGATCTCTTCTCTCTCTAGATATTCGATGAATTCGCCTTCGATGGCTCTCGAGGAATCGAATAACTCGCCGACGGCGAGATTCATGTGGGCTTGTTGAAGTTTTGTGAATTTTTTGAACTCCGGAGTGGCAGTTTCACTTTGAGAAGGAAGGCGGTTTAGCAAATTCCGGTCAACCGGAAAAGGCCTGCCGGCTTTCTCCCAGAAATCCCAGAAGGTGTAGAAGGCGGAGAGTGGACGGAAGTTGTACGTCTCGGCGTTTGGTATCGATTTGACGTCTTGAACGACGTATGACATTAGAGAGTCGTGTATGACGGCGACTCTAGTAGCTGTTTGTGAGAGGGAAATGATAAGATCTGCGACAGGGCGGCGGAGATGGAGGGTGGAGTCGAAGGAGGATTGGAGGTGGGAAGGGAAGGGGATGGAGGAGTTTGGAGGAGGGGTAGTAAAGGGAGGTGTTGCGAATGCGTGGAAGTTGATGCGATTGGAGTCGGAGAAACTGTGGTGGCGGGCTCGGGCTTGGCGGAGGTGAGCGGCAGTGGAGACGAAGTGGACGGGAATGTCGTAGGTTGATATGAAGCCGGAGAGGTGGAGAAGCTGGTTGAGATGACCGTGTGCTACGAACGGAACCATCACTACCACCACACGGGTTTGGTCGCCGCCGGTCATCTTCGTTTTTTGTTTATCCGGCGGAGCTCTAACTAGGCTTTTAACGTGCTGGTTGATTCAATAATAGTAGAATTATTTTTAGTTAAATTCTATTTGGAATATGTTACTTTCTTTAATGTCTATTATTATAAATTTTTAGGGTTTAGTTTAAAAAGGTAACGTAGCTAACTAGCTATTCGTATTGTCATTTTTTGTGACATAAAATTCTATTTGATATTAATAATATTATTGAAGTATAAAAATATATCTTTTTGCAATTATTTGACATATTTTGTGTGACTTTTCTTTTCCATTCTGTAATGGTGTGGATGTGGTCGGCAATATTTGTTACTTGATGTTGTGGGCCGAATGAAACCTCTTGTATGATCCATGTTGTAGGCCGGGATAACATATTAACAAAGTTCAAAATGGAGTGAGTGAAAGGTTAACCTAAGTTTTACCGCGAGCTTAAGGTGTCAATTTTATATATAAAAAATCGTTTAACTTGTTAATTTTGTATAAATAAAATCATATGATTATAGATTTATATAAAATGTATCAAGTTTTTAGAATAAAAGTACAAAAAAAAAAACATTGTCTTGAATAAAACTCGCACCATAATGCGTATTTGAGCGACTCAACCCGTCTCGGCATAAGTCACACCCATGGTTCTAAAACGTTATGCATGGCTTTGTCATAACATCTCATGGCTTCTAGATTTGTACATACCCCCCCCCCCCCACACACACACACACACACACACACATATATATATATATATATATATATATATATATATATATATATATATATATATATATATATATATATATATATATAATTTTTATCTTAAATCACGTCTTAATAAATGTTATGGCTCATCACGACTCATAAAGTTTGGAGCTTGATATTACCGTCACACGTCTCACGCAATTTAGATCATATTCATGACTAACATCGTTGTGATGAAGGTTTTCAAAACAACATAGCCATGATGCGGTTTTGAAAAAGACGTATCCATAACGTGCCTTTTAAAACCATGCATATTACATGTATGATAATATATAATGCAAGGTAACCATTTCATTTAAGTTGATTGTTGAGTGTAAATCTGTGATTTGATGATGTGCGTTTTGGCACTACTGCCAAAGGTCTCGGTGTGTGTTTATGATGATTTCCTTAGCATGTTACTCATATTAATGTACATTGTGTTATGTATCTTGTATTTAGCCCGTTTGATTAGCCTTTTGTATGTACGTATAAGCCCATTACTTTATGTATATAGTATTCGATTGATTAATGAAATTATTCAAGGAAAATCATTCTCGAATATGGTATCAGAGACTCTTTAATCTTGGTACCCATACACCAGCCGGACCTACCTTCTCCTTCTCGATCATGTCAATCTTCTCCTTTTTCTCTATTCTGTTCTTCTTCCCAATCAGACATGGCTGATAAAGATAAGCCCTTCACCTGCATCAATATCAAGTCCTATGTTCCTCTTATTCTTGATCTAAATGAATTAAATTATGATGCATGGCGGGAGCTCTTTCGCACTCATTGTCGTGCCTATGGTTTCCATAGTTTTCTTGAAAGCACAAACAAACCCAAAGACGCAGCAGACACCGATTGGGACAACCTTGATAATCTTGTCAAGTCCTGGCTCTATGGCACAATGACACAGTCATTACTCACAATTATCCTCAAACCCAAATCAACAGCCAACTCTATTTGGGAAGCCATTGAAGCCCTTTTCAGAGACAATAAACACTCCAGAGCAATTGAACTGGATAATAAGTTGCGTACTCTAGTCCAAGGAGATTGCTTTATAACTGAATACCGCTAGAAAAGCAAACCTATTTCCGATCTCCTAGCCAACATTAATGCACCAACCCCTGAAAAGACACTAGTTTCATACCTGCTCAACGGTTTAAACCCGAAGTGTGAAAGTGTTTCCATTCTCATCTGTCACAAAGATCCCCTACTTTAATTCCTTGAAGCACGCTCAACTCTTGTTTCTGAAGAGTTCCATGTCAACAGGAACCACACACGGACCCCCTCACCTCATTATGATCATGGCTCCTCTCCTATAGTTCTCGTTGCTAACAACAACAAGCCCGATACCAGGCGGTCTCAACACAACAGATCTTCCTCCAATCGGTTCAAGAGTGACTCCTCCAACTGCCGATCAACGTCGTCCTCGTCGTAGGTACATATCACTGGTCGCTACCCTCCTCCTACTCCATGGAATCCATATTAAACTAAGAAGCAAAGCCAAACGAAACAAAGATAAAAGAAATGTGACTTGGAAACAAATAAATAAAGGTATTTTGATCAAGACTTGATTTCCCTCTTCAATATGAAGGGTTATCTATAGAAAAGTCCCAAACTTTTTTCAATAGTTTCAATAAGGTCCTAAAAGTTTCTTTTTTTTTTTTAACAGAAAAGTCCCAATATTTTTTTACCTAAAGTAACGAAAAAATTATTTTTTATATTTAAACAGCAAATGATAGATTATATGATTTTTTCAAAATATTTGGACTTTTCTGTTCAAAAAAAAAAAAAAAAAAAAAAAAAAAAAACTTGTAGGATTTTATTGAAACTTTTGAAAAAAGTTTAGGACTTTTCTATAGATAACCCCAATATGAATGATTTTTATGTCATGCAATAAAGATTACTTGTTATTAATCACTTCTTAAGTTGATTTTCTCGCGTGCACAAATCATAATGACCAAACGAACATTTAACAGAATGGTTAGATAATTTACTATCTCTATTATCAATATTCAGTTTGTATCATGCAATACTTGATCATGTACTTAATCACAATAGTCATGACAATCAATTACTAAAAAATGGTCATCTAATGAAATCACACATATTAAAGTTCATTACTTTGTTAAACGAATCCTAAGATTTTGTCCATCTCTAGTCACAATTGCCAATGGTCATGATCAACTATGATTCTAACATATATATTCAGATTTATCCTCTAAATAAATCAGCAACAGGTCTTAACGATATAGACTTTAAAACATATGGATCTTTGATCAAACAAACAATATAACTTAAATAACTCATAAAATCCAAATATCAATCAAACCACAATTTTACGGTTCATCTACATCTAATCAAAGGCGAAAGGGTTTTTATGCTCTAAATCATAAAACAGAACACAAAGAATTCAGAATAGTATGCAAAATATAGACAGTAAAGAAAACAACACGAATTTCCTAAAGATTATTATATCAATCCTTTAGATTCCTATTCTTAGTCATCATTGATCATTATGCTATGATAAGAAGTCTAGAACCATGTGAAGTCATTGAAACGTGTGCTTGAAAATAAAGAGTTAATAGCACACCCTCAAATCGAATTGGAAGAAATATTCAGGGGCGTAGGACGTCATGTCAAGTATCATAACACATATAATATAGTAAGCAAAGTACAACAACCATTGCATTAATCATGTATAAGTTTTTACACAAGTTCAAACATTAAGTGTGACAACCCGATATTTCGAGGGAATGAAATGTAACACCAGTCAAATATAGGTAAAAATTTAGCTTTCCTAAAATCTTATTTGGGTTAAATAAAGTGGTAGGAATCATATCAAGGTTTTCGTACATATAAAGAACACTAAAATCCGAGTTATAACGAAGAAGTTATGACCAATCTAAGATTCGCAGTGAAAATCGGCAACACTGATAGACGTAAAACGCGAAGTTTCAATACAATAATTTTTAGACTTAGGTATCTAAATGAAAATTTTATATATCATTAAATCGTAAACGTACATAAAAGAACGTCCGAATCTGACTTCGTATGACGAAGTTATGATTTTTCAAAGTTTCAGACATAACAGTAGATAGCTAAAAACTCGAAATCGAGATCGAGCGGATTTTTGCCAACATGACCTAAACGAGAATTGAAGATCACATGAATGGTATTACAATGGTAAAAAGTATGGCGAAAACAGACAGCGGACAGAGTTATGAAATTTTAACGGACTTTTCCTGTCCCGGCCTATTAAAAATATAATATTAAAAATAAATTCAAAATTAGCCGACGGAGTCTAAACGAAAGTTGTAGATCGTAGTCTCACCTATGCGTGGACATAAAGAACGACAAAAACGGATTTCGTATGAAGAAGATATGAATTTTTGAAGTTTACCAAATAATTAAAATGTAAATTAAATTCAAAATCCGGTATTATCCGAAGGAGGAGTCATCGGACCAATCCAGGTTATGCCCAGCGTACCCTTGTACACCCTGTGTACTCGGATGCTCGGCCTCAGTTACTCCACGTCGCTCCGATGCTTCGACCGAGGATGCGGTCATCCATGTCGTCACGTACGCCTCGCGTACAAGCGTACGTCCAGCGAACGCGAGGCTTTCAGCCTCTATAAGAAGGATGCGAGGGTGCCGGCCATATTTGCTAATTTCCTTCCCTTCTCGTGCCGAAGCTCTACGTTTCAACCCTCGGAGCCATCCCAAAGTCCTGGTTTACATATCCAAGCTCGGAAGGAAGTTTTACGCTCCCGAGATTCCCGAGAATCTTGAGAGATCTGCTCTCTCGAGTAGAAGTTCTGCTCGGTTTTCATCACGCTTTCTTCAATCAATCAAGTGAGTTCATACCCTTATAATCCACACTTGTAAAGGTTTTATAAATGCTTTTATATGCTTTTAAGGGGGGAATACAAGTAAAACACACGATTATTATCGTGTGTTATATGAAGTTTTATTATAAACTTTTTATCAACGGAATCATATGTGATTTATAACTATTATAGGGAAACTTTCGTATGCAAAATATATCACGATAACATCATATCTTTTGAAATAAAAAATGTTGTTATATATGTATAAATCAAACACTCTGCTTATACTGTATGTATATGTGTCCATCTTAGGCACTACAAAAATTATACTTTTCATAACAAGCGAGCATTTCACCTAGGGATTTCTATACAAACGAGACACACTTTTAGAAAACTATAATAGGTATAGTTTTACGAGAA